AAACCATTCTATGATTCTATGTGACTCTGGCGGTTTTCACCGCGTTCGTGTGGCCCTCATGGGGCTGTTACTTCTCCGAGAGTCGGCTTTGCTTTCCTCCCCCCCTCCCGCCAAGTGTGAAGTCGCTGTCAGTTGTGTATGTGGGTTCCCTGCACACACAGGTCGTGGCATCCGCAACCCTGTCAGGAGCGTGGAAGGAAGCAGGTGTGTTAGGGATGGACTGCGGACATCACCGATAGCATGGCGTACGGCAAGTCGTTGCTTTGGCAGTGTAAAGTCTGTGTGGGGTGAACGATTTTGCCTTATGGGCAAAATGCTGTTCCTGAAAAAGGGAAACTTTGTGTTTATAGAGAAGGATGGGAGATTTATGGTAGTCGTTAGCTGCGCACGGCATTTCTTTTGTGACTTGGCACCAGTCCTCTCGAAATGGTGTAGGGCAGTGGGGGTAGCTGGTTCTGCTGTGCCAAAAGGGCAGAGTAGCCCATCCATCCCTCCATCCATCTCTCCATCCATCCCTCCATCTCCTGGTGCTCTGCATGATTACTTCAGTGCTCTGGACTGCAGCTTCTGAGCACCTTGACTGTAAGAATGGAGAAGTTTAACTGCAGTGGGAGCCCATTTGCAGGATAGACTTGTACTTGCTAAGGCTGGAAAAATAGCGGCGATGTGCGCTGTGCCAACTGCAGTACCTCAGTCTCTTACAGATTGATGTATAGGTACTTTTAAGACAGACCAGAACTATTGTGAAATAACAGTAATTTAGACAGGTCACCATTAGGGATGGGATGGACTTGTGTAGACACTACTTCCCATGAAGAGAACTTGAGCAAAAAACTTAGGAGCCCTCCTGTGTCAAGCAGACCTATTGCAAGAAAATGCACGTTTGACAAAATAAAGTATGGAAGAGTAACTATGAATCTCTTGGAAAAAAACCCTGTCTTTGGAAAATATTGTACTGGAAATCATATTCAGCATTATTTGAAGACATCTGTGATACTGGTCGCCATAGCTGATAGTTGAGGTGTAAAAGTGAGTGCAAGCAGTTATCTGTTTGCTCTTAATGCTGTCAAGAGCCATGTCAAAGAACTCCTCTTTTCTGCAGCAGTCCTGCTGTGGTTCAGAAGCTGCTTCGACCCACAAACTGCTTGGATCTCTGCATACAATCTCTGTTACCTGCTAAGAGGTGTTATCTTTTAAACTGAGTTCTCTTTGCCACTTGGGAAACAGCAGGTGACAACATCTAGTAGGTTATTTGCATGCGGAAGGTCTCTGGCACAATAACAGAGTATGACCATCAGTTATCTCATTTGGGTAGCTTGAAGGACCAGTGGTTATGTCTGGCAAACTTCTCACACATCTTTCTGGTAAAAACCAGTTCAGCTTACTTGATACCACTGTAGAGATTCATCATGTTGGTTTTGGATGGTAATTAACTCCTCCTGATGACATGACCTGTCATCTGTGCCCTTTGTTAGTATGATGTTTTAATCCCTTTTGCATCTAGCCCAGCTATGGTGCTGCCACATTCTTTTGGCTTTGTGAGTTTCCTAGTGCGGTTGCTGGACTTTCCACTTGAGTAACTGTTGCTGCATTTCTTTGTGTCAGTGAAATGGGTGGTGAAAAAATATGTGCGTTTCCCCGTTGTGCTGGGATGTGATGCTCACTGTACTGGAAGTTTGGTATATATTATAATTTTAATTATGCCAGCTTCTCATTTGTTGTTTGAGGTTCTGAAGCTCAAGCAGAAGTTTCTGGCTGTGCTGTTTATATTCAATCTAAAATATGCTAGCCTCTTACCAATATGTTTGTTTTTTTCCCTGTACCCTGAAGTGCTGCATAATCTTGTTAGTGGAGAAAGAAAGCCGAATAATTACCATGATTTTGCAGATTGCTGGAGGTCTAATCTCTGCAGCACCATGGACTCATCAGAAGAGACTGGAGGCTCCTCTGCGGAAGAGAACTACTTTGTGAACTACACCTTCACCGACCACTCCCACTCAGGCCGCGTGGCCCAGGGTATTATGAAATTATGCTTGGAGGATGAGCTCTTTGCTGATGTTACAGTATCAGTGGAAGGCAAAGAATTCCAGCTGCACCGTTTGGTCCTCTCGGCTCAGAGTTGCTTTTTTCGTTATATGTTCACTTCCAACCTAAAGGAGGCCCACAACCGGGTGATTGAGCTGCAGGATGTTAGCGAGAGTGTCTTTCAGCTCCTTGTGGACTATATTTACTACGGGACTGTAAAGCTGAGGGCAGAGGAGTTGCAGGAAACCTATGAAGTGGCCGACAGGTACCAGCTGACTGCCCTTTTTGAAGAGTGCTCCCGTTTTCTGGCTCGTACAGTGCAGGCCAGGAACTGTCTGCAGGTCATGTGCTTGGCAGATCAGCACAGTGACATGGAGCTCTACACAGCTGCCAAACACTGCGCAAAGTCCCATTTGTCTCAGCTGCAAGACACCGAGGAGTTCCTACACCTGCCTCTCCGCCTACTGACAGACATCCTTACAGGTAAGGAGTTCTTCAGGGTAGCCAGGATGTGGATGTAGACTTTCAGAGAGTCTTATCAGGGACTGAACAAAACAGATGGAAAGTTCCAAGCTTTCATAATCACTGTCTGTTCAGAGGCTTAGCTGAGCTAAGCAGAGCAAAACACTCTGGGCTACTTAGTGAGAAAAGAAACTATTAAATCTTACTGGACATGAAGCATCTAAGCTATAGACATAGAGGATGCTGGGAATTCCCAGCAGTTCCTGAGTCAACAGGTCAGAAGCATTACAGGCTTTTTAAAGGTAACAAATCATTGAAAGTTACTAAGTTGTATTTTTGTTTGCATTGAAAGTAAACCAAAAACGCCTTACCAGAAATGAACATCTTATGAAAGTCATCTTTTTTTTTTTTTAATTCTTTTAGCACAGTAATGCAACAACTCAACATTTGTAAGAAAGCTTGAGCACAAGCCTTATTTTTAGACTATGTTAGTATTATAAACAATTCTGTACAATTGTTAGGATTATTTAGGCTAGGCACTCAGCTGGCTGAAATAGAGGCATTCTAGAATCTTAGGTAATACAGTAACTACCCTTCTTGTAAAGGTAATAACCTTCCACAGTAATGGATGCAATGACTCAGGGTTGTGAAGGATGTGTCAACACATCAACAACTTAGTCCAGCTGCCACCAGTGCTTAAAGATTCTCTGCTGCCCTAGTAACTAGAGCCATTGGTTGAAAACCTCTCCATGATGCTGCAGGCACAACTCTGGTTTTGTGCATTTATGTATCATTGCTAGAGGAAGCAAGAATGTAGAAGCAGCTCATACATTCAAATGTACTGGACTTGAGACCAGAGAGATTGCCTCTTTCTTGCTTTAATTAAATAATTTGGTGAGTAAATAACTATACTTCGTGTGTCATGTGTTTTATATGCTGTTACAACAATAAAACTATCATGACTGGCTTCTTTGGAATACAGGCAAAACTGTCTGTAAGACTTAAAATAGCCTCTAAAGTTGATGCTATGCATATGACAGTCTTTTCAGATACTGCATTCTGGTATCTCTGTTGCATCTAAAGAAATTCACAGTCAAAAACCTATTAAGAGTATGTACTGATAGCTCAAAAAAACTATGATAAAATTAGAGTAATTTTGATGACAAAGTTTTTAAAGTAAGTTGTGACCTCATTAAAACCATAAATTCATTAAATAAAGCTATAGAGGTCAACCACCCTTAACTTCCTAGGGATTTCATGTTTTAACTATAGTTTTAGGACTAATTAGGTCCTAAATTAAAATAATTGCTCAATAAAACTTTATGTGCTTCATCTATTTCCATATATAGAATCCCATTGCTCTATATGTATGCCGAAACATAGCTCATAAAATGGATTAAAATCTGAAATATACTCCTGCTGGCAAGGAAAACCTTTTTCTTTTGCAATTCCTGCGGCTTTATTTAGTTAATGGAGAATTAAATAGAGGAAGCTATTAGTAGCAAGATTAAAATTAATTTTGTGAAATAGTGATTTATTAAGCTTACCTTTTTTGGCACTCTAGGACCTGTTTCAGAATCAAAGGTTTTCCATTTAACCACTACATGTGATGGACACAGCTTATGGAAATCCTTTTTACTAATAAAGATAGCTGAAATACTTCTTTTGTTCCACGTTTTTCCTTCTCCCTTCCAGCATAGAGAAAAGCATGGGAATTTGTATGATGCCTTCAGCATTATTGAATTCAGGGTTTGTCATGAGAACGAACTCAAAATCAGAACCAGCACAATAGGGAAAGCCTCTCAATGAATGCAGGCAGAACTGCTGGCTTTCAAACTGGAAGTAAATACCTAAAATATTCTAGGTAATGTACTGGTGATGATGATGATGAGGTAGTTTGTGGTATAACCAAAACTTCCAGTTATGTCTGGAAACAAACTGAAATCTGATGCAGCCTGTTGAGTGTTTCCTACTGTCACACTGCTAAGGAAAGCTATAGTAGCTCATTGGGGATTTCCAAATGTCAAGAGGATAGCAGCAACACCAGATGTTCAGTCTTGACGGTCAGCTGTCTGACAGCGGTCGGAGAAGGACAATTTCTGCAGATGGCTTCTGCTAGATAAGCTTCTAGGACCAGCCAGAAGGAAAGCAGCTGCTGAGATTCTCAGCTAAGACAATCTTTTTGCCTAAATGCTTAAATAAGAAAATATTTTTCATCGTGACAAAACATGCAAGTTCTCTTTCCTGCCCTCTTGATCTCAGACGTAGGTTCCTTTGTTGAACTCATCCAGAGTGCTTAAGATCTGGCAGCTCTGTCTTCTGATACTCAAACTAATTTCATGTAGACGCCTGGCTGGCGGCGCTGATCATGCCTGCCAAAATCTATAAACCTCCATATCTTTGTTCCCCTCTCTAGCAAGTAGGGTTTGTGGGGGGAATGAGGGGAGGGAATCGCAGGAAAAGGATGTTTCTGAGTACACACACCTTTGTCTAGATATTATAAATGCCTTTCTGTCCCCAAACCGCAGATGGCGTTCCATGTTCTCAAAATCCAGTGGTTGCCATAGAAACCTGGATCAACTTCAACAAGGAGGAGCGTGCGGGCTTTTCAGAGACACTGCAATCGAGTCTGAAGGTATAAAAAGACCTGCTGTTCTGGGGTTGGTGTAACACTTGCTGGTTTCGCACTTCCCAAGGCAGGGTATCCTGCTCACAGGTGTGACTTGAAACTCACAAAACAAATGCCATTGGAATTCATGGTGTTTGCGTGAGGAATACTTTCACTGTCATAAATAGCAACCCCACTGACAGCTTTTTTTAATTTAACCAGAGACTGCTTTCACTAGATTTGAGCAGTGCCACAAACAACTTTTTCACCAGGTATTCAGTTACGAAAGAGACCATTCAGAAATCCGAGTTTGGCATTCCCCTTGTTAAACTCTACTGAATTAGTGATGTGACCAGCCCTTACCTAAACTGCAGGCACTTGGTTTCCGGTGAAGTCTGCTGCTATTCACAGAATCCCAGAATGGTTTGGGTTGGAAGGGACCTTAAAGACCATCTAGTTCCAACCCCCCTGCCATGGGCAGGGACACCTTCCACTAGACCAGGTTGCTCAAAGCCTCATCCAGCCTGGCCTTGGACACTTCCAGGGACGGGGCATCCCCTGTTCCAGTGCCTCACCACCCTCTCCCTGAAGAACTTTTTCCTGATATCCAATCTAAATCTCCCCCCCTTTCAGTTCTGCTATGTCAAATATGACTGGTATCTTGAAAAGGCTTCGAGGCTTCAAATCCTCAATGCTGAAGGGTGGCAGGATGTGGAAGCAGGTCACACATCTCAGGCCTGCAGGTGGGTCCTAAAATGCTGAATAATCCAGCCTTAGGGATTCCTGATGTTTGTGTAAATAGGCCTAATTGTGCTGACACATTCCTCCTTTCTCTCAGGTGATTGGAGAAAACGTTCACATCTACCTGATCAGAAAGGAGTCCTCACATACACTCGCTGTCTCTCTGCATTGTGCTGATGACAACTCCATAATTGTGAGTGGCCAGAACAGCCTGTGTCACCAGATCACTGCAGCCTGCAAGCACGGTAGCGACCTATATGTCACTGGCGGGTCCATTCCACGACGCATGTGGAAATGCAACAATGCGACTATAGACTGGGAATGGTGTGCCCCTCTGCCCCGTGACCGGCTCCAACACACCCTTGTCTCTGTGCCAAGCAAGGATGCAATATATTCACTGGGGGGTAAAACTCTACAGGACATGCTCTCTAATGCTGTCATATATTACAGAGTACAAGACAATGTCTGGACAGAGACCAGACAGTTGGAAGTGGCAGTCTCTGGAGCTGCAGGTGTAAACCTTAACGGTGTCATTTACCTGCTGGGTGGGGAGGAAAATGACTTGGACTTCTTCACCAAGCCCTCTCGGCTAATTCAGTACTATGATACCAACAGAGAGAAATGCCACATGAAGCCATACGTACTGCCTTTTGCAGGGCTCATGCATGCTGCTGCACACAAGGATGTGGTGTTCATTGTAGCCGAGGGGGATTCACTGCTATGCTATAATCCCCTACTGGATAGCTTCACCCGGCTATGCCTGCCAGATGCCTGGAGCTCAGTACCATCCCTCTGGAAAATTGCCAGCTGTAATGGCAGCATCTATGTCTTTCGCGACCGCTATAAAAAGGGTGATGCAAATACTTTTAAACTTAACCCAGCCACCTCTGTTGTAACAGTCATAAGTGGCATCAAAGTGCTGCTCACTAACCTGCAGTTTGTCCTGGCCTGAGTGGGAAAAACAGGCCAAGCAATGGCAAGGGCAGCAACGGTGTTTCACTGTGCAGCTCAGAGGCACCCACCACCCTCAGCACCAGTCCCAGTTACTACAAGCTCACAACATCCAGTAAAGACCCCATCCTCTATACCCGTTCAAAGGAGGTACAGTCTTTCTGTCTCTGGGCCTGTTCTTTTACATAGCACTAATAAAGTTGAACTGCTGCATCTTAGATTTCAGATGGACTAAATGCTATTACTTTGATCCCTTCCTGATAAGCTGTTTGTGTTTGAGGCCCAAACTGGAACAAATGGCTTTTTTAGCCTGGAACCAATCCACCAGTGACAAATCCTATAACACATAGACAATGTCCTCCTGGCCCAGATGGCTAGTTTTAACTGCCTGGGAAACTGTGTTGCCTGTCGTGTCAGTCACAGTGTTAGTTGTGCACTGTCCTCCAGGGATGCCCCCATTTAAACATTCTTGTGTCCCTGTTGCAGGAGGGACTGGCGGAAGTATTTACAGCAGACAGATTCCAAAGCTGACCCCAAGACCTTTAGTAGGTAGCATTACTCAGCACTTCTCCTAGAGGAGCGGTAACAAACTGGAAACTTGCTTACTGCGCTGTCATCACCTAACATAAAGAGGGAGATTGTTTTTATGAGCACTGGCTTCCTTTACTGTACAGGAAATCCCCACCTATATTCATAACATAGTGTCGGTGAAAGATGGAATTAAGACCACTTCCTCCTACCCCTCCCTGTTGGCACTGTAACCCTTTGGGTAAGAATCTGAACAAAGTCTCTGCTGAGACAAAGTTTTCTTTTCCTTTGCTGCAAATATTCTAAAACTTCCTGTGGATTGCAGTTCTGCTCAGCACCGAAACTGTGGGTAGGAGAGAAGAACTATGGGGCTCCGAGTCAACCAAGATTAACCATAAGGAAAGAAAGCTTTAATGCAACAGCCTAAGCTCCCCTTTACTGTAATTTATGTAAAAACTTCTTTATTGATGATCAAGAAATACAACGCTTAAGCCTTTATTAGATCATCAGAACTTAAGTTTGTTGGAAAGCAGACGAGACAGACATTTTGATAGTTCTTACTGACACTCTGCAGTTGTCCCAGCAATCATGTTCCTGTGAAACATCTCCAAGACCTGGACTTGCTTGTGCCGAACGAGGATGTGGGGACGGATCTGGGCAATAGCCTCTATTGCTTCCTGAGGGCTCCAGTGATGCAGCTGAAAAGGCAGAAACCCTGCAAGTGAAAATCCATTCCATTCCTGCGCCAGCTAATGGAACCTTCTACAGGCAATGTTAGAGTTGTTAAAAATCTTGCTGCTTTGCCTGTTCTATTTACTTTGTGTTCCTCTCACAGGCACCTGAATGTCAATGCAAGTTCATGAAATGCATCCCTCGGTTAAAGAGGGATGGTTGCTGCCTGGGATCTCTATTTTCTCCACTCATGCTTCCATCATTGAGAATAGCTTCCTGTCCTAGTCCACCCAGACTGAACAAAAGTGCAGCTTGCCTTTTTTTATTTTTTAAAACTTTACTAGTGCTCCCACTGCACTTTAGCACTTAGAAAATTTTCTCTTCAGCACTAAGGGAAAATTTTCCAGGGAGCACTTAATGACGCCAACAGAAGCATCCGCAGGTGGGATTTTGTTCTTAGTGCTGCCTTCCCCAGCTGGGTCTGTAAAGGAACTCGGAAAACCAAAGTCACTTCTCGTGTTCCTGGATTGTATTTATTGAAAAGCTGAGAAAGGCTCGTCATTTCAATTAACAAAGGAGAATCAGCAGCAGATCCTATCAGACCATGTGTTTCAAAGCTTTGTTGCAACAACAATTTCTCTTTCCCATAAGATCAGAACATCTTTGCCGGTGTCTGTGCTCATAACCGAGCTGGCAGAGGCGGACTGTACAGATGAATGAAAAGACTTACAGTGGCAGCTATGCTGCAGCTTCACTGCTATCTCATTACCAGGAAGCATTCTCCTGACAGTATCACAAAGGGCAGATGGACAAAGTTTTCAAAGATAAACTAGATTATCCAAGAAAGCTTAGACTGCAGTTCAACAAACATTTAAGTTTCGCTTGTTTGTTTCCCTTGCATTTGCCACGTTCTACAAAACAGCAACATAAGTTTGGGCCCTAGTTATCTACCTCTTTTCAAAGGGATCTCCAGTGCAAACTCTGTGAAGTCATGGAATATCAATACACCTGTACGCGCTCTGGTTTCTTGAGCAAAAACAAATTGTGAAGGTTGCCTGTACTCGCCCAGACTGTACGAAAATAAACCCCATTCAGTACAGAAGCCTTCTTACTTGAATTAAATACGCTGCCACCATCGTGGCGCTGCGGGAGCGTCCTGCCTTGCAGTGCACATAGACGCTGTTACCGCACGCTCGGTGTTTCAGTATGAATTCAACACCCTTGTGGAGGTTTTCCAAGGTGGGGACTCCAGTTAGATCCACCGTGCTGAGACGCAGTTGCTCCACTCCCATTGCCTCCCATTCCTGAAATGGAGATGGCAGATCCGGTCAGTTAACTTTTTTGGGTTTTTTTTCCCCCAGAAAGAAAAAAACCCAGACAGCTGTGAGATTCAGCAGGGCTGTACGCAGGCTTTGACCATCAATCCTTTGTATCAGGTGTATGAAAAATTTAGTGCTGGCTATCAGAAAGGACAGGTTAAAGGGCACTGGTTCAGGTAAAGGAAAGGAGGTGAGCTGGGATCTCGTCCCGAAAAACACATGCATTCGTGTACGCGCATGGCGATGTGTGTGGAACTACTGCTCCCCTTCCCTCCTCTCCGCCGCTGCAGCTGTAACCCTTCACTTGCATCCCCACGTTTTACCGCGCTGTCGCACAGTTTTTAAAGCCGGCTTAGGTAGGAAGCAGCCGCGGCGTTGCTGTCAGAGCCGCTGCCAGGATCACGGCAGGAGGCGGCTAAAGCCCCACCCGCGCCGAGACAGGCGACAGAGACCCCTCGGGGGGGCACCGGCAAGCTCCCCGCGCCGCCGGGCTCACCTGGGCGGAGCAGCAGAGGAAGCGGGTCTCGTACTCCTCGTTGAGGGTGACCACGGCGCGCACGTTCTCCTCCGACACCAGCTGCGGGCACAGGTACCGTCAGGCACCGCTGGTCCGCCC